ATATCTTGGTCATTGACAGCTAACAGCCTCTACAGCCATGGAAAAACATACGCTGGAGTCCTACATAAGTGGAATTCTACTATTGCTAGCCACAGACTAGCCAGTTTAGGTACTGGAAACAGCTTGTCTAGGTTCAGGTTAGCTGTCCAAGTATTTACCCAGGGAAGTCTCTGGGACTAGAGATATGTAAGCAAGGTACAGTTGGCTCAGGTATGCCTGCAACCAGTGACTGCAGCCCAGTTAATATTTTAAAATCATTTGGAAGAAGGCATCAAGACCAAAGTATGCAGCTCAGAGATTTTACGAAGCATTCTTTAAGTTACTTTCCAAATCATTTTCCAAATTGCTATTCTTTTGTTTTACTTGTCTGGTTTCTCCTTTGAATTTCAACAATACAAATTTTTCAAAGCACGATTCATTTCATTTCTAAGAATACTCTAAAGATTGAAATATATTGTAACAATATTTGCTTTTCTTTCCAGGGTAGCTGCATTTCAGGTACAAGCAAACTTTTATATAAGTTGGTTTTGTTGAGCACTCCAAGTCATTTTAAAACCAGTGAAATTCATAATACATGCTAGCAGATTTATTATTTCCAGACCTACCATTTAGTTTACCAAGCAGAACACTGTCACCACTAATGGGAGGCTTAGCAAAGCTAAATGAAGAAACAGACTGAGTTATTTCTGACCTCAAACAAAAATCAAGACCCCATCTCAGGGTCAAGGTCAAAAGGAAGAGTTGGGTGCAAATGCGGAAAGAGCCAGACAGCTTTTTATCATGCAGTTGTTATAATGAGACATTTACTACTTTAAAAAGGTTTATCCACCTGTTTCAATTTATTGCAAGTGCTCACAATCTATGATGAATACCAACAACAACAAAAAATCGTTGCCATATGGATGCCTAATTCTATGTCATACATCTACTGAACACACAAACCATAAAAATACTCATTCTCTGTCCACCTAAGAAAATTTTCTAAGTGTTGCTATTACTCTTATTGGAAAAAAAATAATATGTAACTGTGCCAGCAGACAGGATGGTCTTGACAAATCATATATATAAAGCAACAAATCTTAAAAAATATCAGTAGCCCTTAAAGACCATACATCTGTTATGCTATTGCACAGAATGTCAAAGATTATCTTTGTTATTGAAAGCTCGAGCTTTTCAAAAGCAGTGCTTATTCATTTGTAGATGTTGAATTCAATTTCTCCCACTACTAAAGTATAGTTTTTCAATTTTGCAAGGCTTGCAGAAAGTTCTAAGGGCTTGATACTGAAGTCAATAAAAAGGCTTCTCCTTTTAAAGTCCCCTGACTTTAAGAGGGTCTTACCCAACCAGAAGTCTAAAACACTGCTGAGGACCCTAGCTCCACACATTGCTTCAGTGCACCAAGAAAACACAACACAGACTTCTAAATTGCATCAAAGTGTCTATAACTTATTAGACGGCCTCATGTTGTTAAAGATAGACAATGTTCTCAGCTTTTCTTGACCAAAATTGAATTACATCCGTTTTATACAGCGCAAGAGAGAGTAAGGATGACATAAAGGGAAATCAAAAGCAACAGGTATCACTGTAGTCGAGTTAGTACCTTTTGAGTTGGGCATGGATAGCTAAAGTCTTGCAAATCAAGATGGAAGACAAACAACACAGAAAGACGTATTTTGCATAAATACAGTAGCCTTTGTGTGATGGTAGCCCTCCTCTGCTTGCTCTAGGGGCAGCCCCAGTCTTTTTGTCCCATAAATCATTTAGTAAGATCATTTTGGGCAAAGAGATGTCAGATTTAAACAGCTGAAAAGGTGAGTAGCTCTCTTCTCAGGATGGACGTGACAACAGCTATTCTGTCTTCAGCAGCTCTATCATCCACTGTAGGACAAGGCTGGGACAGAGACTGGCAATATCAACTTCAGGGGCTCCTGCTGGCTCCTTCCTCTCGCAAACAGCACCCCAGCTTTTCAGAATCCCAAAGCCAGCAGCATGGCACAACCCCTGCCTGAGGGATGCCCTTGAGCTATTCCAGAGCTGCATTTTGGCTGCATCTGTACTGGAATTACATGGTCATTCAACAAATGCTGTGAAATCTTGGCAGTATTGTGTAGTTAATGGCAAAATTCCCATTGATTAAAACTGAGCCAGAATACCCTGTACAATAATTTTACTTGGTCAGAATGCCTCCTCTTCCTCCTGAGGCTTGTAAGAGCCATAAATAAAGTTAGAGCAACATAGTACTCAGCAGTTTTAATAGAAGGCCTCCTCTGTTAAACGACCACCAAAAATAGTTGCTTAAGATGGGTTACACTGAATCATAAATGAGAGAAGACTGCTTATTTTTTTTTTAAACCATCACTATTTTTATTGGTTGTCAATGTTTCCCTGCTAGTCAATAAATGCATTTGGGATAGGTGAATTTCCAAACTAAGCATGATGGGAGGGCGTGTTTAACATTCAAACTAATTTAGAAAGAAGTTACCTCAAGATTCCCTTTGGGACATTTAGAAAATATGCAGTTAATTTGCTGCACCTAATTTGTGTGCATGCACTGGGAGGTAATTAGTGTAGAAATTTAACCAATTTTACAGTCTTTCTGTTCAGCTCAACAAATTGCTGTTTTCAACACCTGTTTCTGTCAGTGACAATAGTTTTAGTCCTTGCTTAATTTCCAGAGAGCATTAATATACCCCTTGCAGAGCAAAAGATACACATGTACATGCAGAATAGATGTAGCTAGCATGAATACCATCACCATTATACATACCCAGTAATACAATATCCCCCTGCAGAATTAGGAAAAAATGCGTATTCTACTATAAATTGCGTTACTGGCTTCAGGTATTGGACACTATTAAAGCTTTCAAGGCACTTTCCACAATAAGACCTATTTTAAAAGTTGTTTCTAACTTTGCCAAACTAACTGCTTGGTCTAAAATTTTACATGCTGGCTGTGTGCCCCAAAGCTGGTATTTTTTTGGTTTTTGTTTTTAATTTAATCCAAAATCCTCCTCTAAGAAGCAGACCAGAAAACATTTTGTAGGTTTGCCGTAACAGCATTCTGGCAACTTGAGCACCTTATGCTTTGGAGTAGAAATTTAAAATTTGATCAGAGATTGTGAGAAAGGAGAAATGAACCCCAAGAAGCTTAAGCCGCAAGCCTTTGGGACAAACATAAAAATAATATGATGTTTCCACATGCTTAGCAGAGACTTTATGATTTCAGAAGCTAAAAGCTTCAAAGAAGCATATTCCTTTCCTTTGTGGCTCCCAACATTTATGTGAGCATGTAACATATTCAAAAAGCAAATGATTATGCTTTCTGCAAGCCCAGAGTTACCAGCAAACATGTGCAAGGTAACTGAGGCTCCAGGCTGTGGTGGACACTAGAAGGATGCCTCTCTCAGCAGTCCTGCTGCCAGCCAGCTCTCCAAGTCAAATTCAGAGGAGACAACTTTAACCAGGCCTCTCCTTACCTCATCCATTTTAAACAAGGATCCTACCAGCAAAAACATCCTTTATTATGTGACCCAAATTCATTATGAGACTAGGTCCCATCCTTTGTATTATATGAGGCAGGAGTCCCATGGGAAAAAAAGTTACACTGTGAGCTTGAAATACACATCTCACGTGGAACAATTTTAATTGTTTTTATTGCAGCTAGTTTTGTGTCTAATTTCAAGGAATGAACGTAATCCTACAGAAACCGTAGTTTTATCAAATGAGAGGGGAATGATTTTTAAAAAGTAAGATTGTTCCCAGTAGTCCCAGACTTGTATATAACATCAATGCATCCCCAAACAAACCCTGCATAACCTAGAATGTCATACAGTCTTCAAACCAAACTGAAAGGAGATCAGATCAAGGGACCTTAAAAACCATACAGTTCCAATGCCCCTGCCATGGGCAGGGACACCTCCCACCAGACCAGATTGCCCAAAGCCCCATCCAGCCTGACCTTGAACACCTCCAGGGATGGGGCATCCACAGCTTCTCTGGGCAGCCTGTCCCAGTGCCTCCCCACCCTCACAGTAAATAATTTCTTCCAAATACCCAATACTCTCCTCTGTTAGTTCAAAGCCACTACCCCTTGTCCTATCCCTACAATCTTTGACAGAGTCCCTCCCGTGCTCTCCTGTAGGCCCCCTTTAGGTACTGGAAGGTCTCCCCAGAGCCTTCTCTTCTCCAGGCTGAACAACCCCAGCTCCCTCAGCCTATCTTTGTTGGAGAGGTGCTCCAGCCCTTTGATCATCCTCATGGCCCTCCTCTGGACTCGCTCTAATAGGTCCATGTCCTTCTTGTGCTGGGGGCCCCAGAGCTGAATGCAGTGCTTCAGGAGGGGTCTCACGAGCAGAGGGGAAGAATCCTGTCCGTTGCCCTGCTGGCCACACTTCTTCTGATGCAGCTCAGGATATGGGTGGCTTTCTGGGCTGCAGGCACTCATTGCTGGCTCATGTTGAGCTTCTCATCAACCAACACCCCCAGGTCCTTCTCTTCAGGGCTGCTTTCAATCCATTCTCTACCCAGACTGTATTTGTGCTTGGGATTGCCCTAACCTAGGTGCAGGACCTTCCACTTGGTCTTGTTGAACTTCTCAGAAGTTCTCAGAAGATTATTGAATTGAGCTAATTCAACCACACAATTGTCTTATCTGAATGTGCATATATAAAAAGATCCATCTAACAACAAAAATTGAAATGTAAGTGCATAATTGACCTAGAGACCAGAAATAAGTCTGAACTTAAGTAGATCTAGTGAAATCAGGAGTACTTATATTCATAAAACTAAGTTTGCACCTCTATTTTGCAAGAAACAGTGAACAGCTAAGGTAATACATAGGCATATATATTACTACATGGATTTTACAATCACAAAAGCCTACTTTTGCAAGATAATCTGTGAAAAAACAAGCAAATTAAAATATAAGACCACTTAGTATGTTTTTAGTTAATTGTGTATGAGAGTGCATCAAAATAAAAAGCAAATAATTATACAGCAAGTATTTACCAGTATAGATTTTTATTTCTTTTCAAAATAACGGGGTTTGAGGTTTATATTACTGCAATAGTTTCTTAAAGCAGATGTACACTTTGTTTAGAACTTCTACTAAGTGCTGTTCTTGATCTCTCAAAATGTGTGACAGAATACAAGAAAATACAAAATTGGGTTAGCAAAATACAATAATGGAGTTTTATGGGAGAGACACACATACTATGTTATTTTAACTAAGTCTATCAGATAAACATGCTGTAACAGCTCTCCACTTAGTAGCATGTGTCTATAAACTTAATCTGCAACCTGAACCCCAGGAAAAAATTCACTACTGATCAATCCAAGGCTAGTAGGTGCAAGGAAAAAAAAATCCATCTCAAACTGTTTCTGCATTGAAAAAAAAAATTCCCTTTTTCCATAAAGTATTCACTTTCATTTTTAATAGATTACTATATATCGTTAAATCACTATATAACTTTCCCATACTATTCAAGATTCATGTAAGTTTTCAGCCATAATGTAAGTTATTTTATATGCAAACAATTAAGTGTTTAATAAAAAAAAATATATATATTTACTTTATTTATTGCATCTAATGAAAAAAACATTGATGGTTCTTAAAAAAAGTGAAATCACTGTCTGGCTAAGTGCCAAACAACCCCTTCTTCTGGCTTGCTTTTTCAAGAACTGATGAAAAAATCCTGGAGTTCGTTGTGATCTAGACAACCAAAGATGATTAGTCTTATGTGATCAGGATGCACAGTGTTTGATTAAACCCATATACTTCACAAACGAGCTGTAAGGATTAAAAAACATGGTTTGTTATTGTGTCCATTGCCAAAGGACAGCTCACAAGGTTTCCTCCTCACGTAAAAACTGGAACACAGCTGAGAAGTCTTTCAGGGCATAGCCTTTTGCACACATCATCCTGTAGATCTGATGTGCCTGGGATCCCAAAGGAACTGGTGTCTTTGTGTTGGTGGCAGAAATCTGGGCCAGGCCAAGATCCTGGGAGCAAGGAGGAAAGAGAGGATGAGGGTAGAGAGGAAGAAGGGAAGGAAAGAAAAGGAGAAAAGGTCAAGAAAACAAACAAACAAACAAACAAAAAAAACGACAAGGTTATCAATAGCCACATATGTATTATAGGTTGTTGAGAAGAGCAGTCTACTGCCAACAAGTACAATACCCCAGCCTGAAAATTTCAGTCCTGGCAGAAGGGAGCCTTGTTTGATTTTTCATTTTTAAAACAGTAAACCAGGGTTATTCAACAGGAAGACGCATAAACAAACAAAAACCCACAGCTCTGCAAGGCAAACAAAAAAATTTGGGACAGAGGGAATGTTAAGATTCTAGATCACTGACTGTGCAACCTGGTAGGAAGGCTCAGTCTTGTTTTCTCCACTTTATTATATCATCTCCATAAACAAGATTCCTCTGGCTATTCATTTAAGCATTTCACATCTGTTTTAACGGCATCATTTCCCTGTTTGGGTGAGAGGACATTTCTTTCTACAAACAGATTAAAAACAAAGCTGGAGGTAGTTGAATAACAACGAAATTGAAGCCACTTATATTACATAGATTTACTGTAATGTGACCGTTCAATTAATAGAAAAATGATAGGCATAGGCCACTTTGTGAATACGGATGTTTTGCAGCCTAACTGGAAGGATTTATTAAAGAATACTCTAGGGGACTGTCCTGGGTCCGTTACAACCTGAGATTTTCTTAAATGACTGAAGATAAAGAGATACAGAGAGTAAGTCAACTGCAATTTTAAATACTAAGTTTGGGGCAAAAAAGAAGGGGAGGTTACAAAGAAGGTGAATTTGAAACCTGTCCTCCAAGAGTACTTGGTCAACTGTATAGCTGTAATTTGAAATAAATAGGACAGAAATCAAAGGCAAGTATCAGGTATGATGACTAACTACAGCTAGTTAGAAATAATTAGCTTCATGCATGCTGGACAGAAATGATGAGCCAGGCTAGAAGATGTCTTGAATTCTAAGCTGAATCAGATATCAAGATCATCAAAGAAAGAACAGCTAACAAGGGCCTGGTTATATAACCAGATCTCTTTTCCAAGTATGAAAGCAATGCTTGCACACAAGGTTGCCTTTATAACATTTTGCTAGAGAAGAGAACTTGATTTTGAGGTCCACATTTGAAAAAAGCTGCGGAAGAATTCCAGTGTTACTAGTAAGTGCCTAGATTTGCTGTCCATCCAAGACTGTTTTTTAATAAAATTTGCAGTCTTTTTTTTTTTCTTTTTCTTTTTAAAATAACAAATCTTTGATGCAGAAGAACTGAGAGACTGTAGTACTGCTGAGAGCACCTTTGGCTTCTCAAGGATGACTTACAAGACAGGTCTTTACTTTCTGTGCGTCTGTATTTGAATTAGCACAAGGAAATTCAAGATCTTACTCTGCTCTCTAAATGTCACTTCGATCTGTAAATCGGCTCTATAAAGGTCATTCTGATACAAATCAGAATTATAGTTACTTTTCCTATTACCCTTGAATGACTTCAAGATCTAGGAAAATGGGAAAAACACACGTTATCAGATGCCACAGGACCCAAAATATTCTTCATCTGCATCAGGGCAGATCACTCCTTTATGTCCAGCAATAACCAATGATCTAACAAATCTAAGAATAGTTACTTTAGCCTAACTTACAATAAGATATTCTGACATATTCCTAACCTCTCCTAATCCATCCTTGTGAAATCTGTTGCCACGTTGCTTGTTTTATTCAAGACAGCTTAAATCATATAATGCAACAGTAGAATGGCAAAGGCATCCAACTCCAAACTAGTGAAGGTGCTTAGTTTTGGTAGCAGTGAGCTATTTTTCTCTGAAGGTGCCAGCACAGAAGCAATCCCTCAAAATTCTGAATAGACTGCCAGCACATGTACCATTTTATAAAGCAGGTGTGTTCACTTTTTTAATGAAACTCAGGCTCCAAGATGGTTGAAACATTAGACAGCATCTTAACGTTTATATAGACAAGGACTCCTGACTTCAAAGTGCAGGAAGGTCATGGTTTTTTATTTATTTATTTATTTTGAAATCATTCTATAAATTATAGATTTGAAGGAAAAAAAAATACAAACTATAAGTAAAACTTATCTTTAACTTCAAGTTGTGAAGTATTTTGCACCTTTTCTCATGAAGCTGGAGACTCCCTGAGTGAACTGATACAAAACAGCTCTGAAAGAGATTTGCCTTCTGCTGAACTTTTTGGAGAAGTAAAAATCAGCGAGCATAGTTTACGACTCATTTCATACTCTTTGGAACTGATATAATCTTCCAGATGTCTCACTGTACCAACTATTCTGTTCTCCTTTTCTCAGCTTGGAATAGGGAAACAGATTCTCTTTCAGGAAACAGTTGCCAAAATATTTTTAAAAAATGCCAAAAAATGATCATGGTAAAAATACATGGATCCTTAGACTTATTTTGCAGTTGACGTAACTGAAACTCTGCCATTCGGAATAAAGCTTGAAGGCAGTCTTGTCATCAGTCAAGAATACCATGATATAAATCTCACTCTTCTCAAGATTCAAGACATTTAATCAGTAACTATGCTGTGAATATAGTTGTTTTTTGACTCTTTTAAGTGGCAAAAGCATGCTTTGTACTTCCCACAAAAAAGTCCCCAACCCAAATAACCCACAAACTACATGATCTGTCACATACCAGGATGAAAGGGATTGTAGGAAAAGTAAGGAGGAATGTCTTAAAAAGGTCACCACTGCAAAACATAATACCCCAAACATGATCAGCTTTGTCTTGACTCCTTATTCATTCAAGTAATCTTCCATCTATACTGAAAAACATGGCATTGTTGAAGAGGCATGAGAGGAATTTATTGTCTTCTTATTGAGGATTTCAGCCTGAAGAAGGCAATCTTTAGGCTGCTTAGCAGGCAGGATGGGCAGGAAAGGCATAGTCAGAAGAGGTCAACAGCGATTATAAAATCTCTGAGGAACAATCCTCTTAGGTATCGATGATAATTTATAACCCAAAGCTGGCAGTTTCAACGGACACAAGCCAAGCTGCTATTACTCCTACAGCAGGAAACTTCCTGAGGAGACGAAGGTCCCTCTTAGAAGTGGAAAAATCACTTTTACAGAGAAAGTTAATGGCAGGGAAGAAGGGAGAGGAATATGTGCCTCCATCCCATTTATATTTTGAGGTTATTCTGGACAAGAGTAACAGATCTGAATCACAAGAGCAGAGTTTACAGTGTGAAGCAGGGCGCAATAGGCTGAACATACTCTGAAAATGGCACATGATGAAAACAAGAGCTTTGAGGCAGGGCCAAGACCAGGTTTTTTATCTATAATTGATAACCCTGCCAAGCTCCAAACAGTAACCTGAAGCATTTTATAAATTAGTAATTTAAATAATGCTTTCTTGTCCCCTATGTCCAATGACATGAACATGATGTAAATGCTGCTGTTTTCCAATATTTTAACACATACCTCAAAGGGATGAAAGCTCCTTGCTGTTAGTGCATAAGTGTAAAATGCTGAAGGCCAACCTGAGGGATTTTGAGTTGCACAGTACTAGTGAAATTTTTTGGTGCTGCCACACACCAAAACACATAGGACCCTTGGACTGACAGAATTTGGCCAATTCCACTGAAGTTAGGGCAAACACACTAACATAAATCAACTGCAAAACTACAGGAGCAATCGTTTTCTATCAGTAGGCAGGCATTACATACAGGAAATGCAGCACTGTGGAGATTTGCATGGCAATATCTGTTTTATAGCCACCTCTTAGAACAGCGTTTTAGTTTTAAGTGCTTAATCCATTCACACAGTACATGGATAAGCTGAAAATGGCCAGAATGCCTAACCAGTTGGGAGCACTCACAAACTGGTAACCATGAAACTTGTCCTGTGCGAATTCAAATTCCTCCCTCAGAATAGTATCCCCATGAAACCAATCTTCAGAGTGTGAAATGGTTTCCTGCACTTATATGCTTACATAATAGATCTCTTCCAGGACTGTTCTTGTAATTTACCTTAGACAACCACTGTGCTAAAAGCAGAAGCAGTTCAAAAGTCAGAGCCTAACAGCCCTTTCTTCCAACTCTGTGTCCTCATCAGTATGATGCACAGCCCTGACCTCCTTGCCTACTTTCCTCTGGCCTCTAAGAATTTTGCTTTCCTGACCACAGAGTGACTCAGGACAGTGCTTTTCCTAGAACAGCCAAGAGTGTGGCAGTAAGTGTATCCTCCTGGGATGGGACAGCTGTAAATTACAACTTCCTTGTGCTGAGAAGGACCTAAACCCCAGATCTCTCACTTTGTAGAAAAGTAATTTAGATTGCTAGGTTATTACTTGCCAGAAAGCACTACTTCTTCCATCACCACCACCAATGCAAGAGAGGTCAGAGCACGGTGTATGAGCACCTGCAGAAAATCATAGTCTGCAGAGGGTTGGGGTTGAAACCTGTCTGCCTTCTCCATTCTACATGACCTTAAGCAAAAAGACAAACACTTAAGCAGTCGACTCAGCAAGGAAGGGGATGCTAGAGGGGATGTCTGGTGGTACAGCTTAAGGTATCTGGAAGAGACTGGGCCAAAAGACTTGGATGGTTATGCCATCACTGGCACATAATCAGATCAGCAGGATTTTCCTGAACTGGTATCTTGAGCTTTGGCTCCTAAGTTCTAGAGAAGTCATGTGAGAGCCACCTAAATGGCTTTCTGAATGCTGCCATACACACAAGTCCATCAGGAGTCCTCAGACAAGTTAGAACTCAAGCAGACGGTGCATACAAACTCACTGAGTGGCTTTGCAGTAATAGCGGCTAGGAAGAGGCTGGAGGTTAAAGAAAAGCCCCTTATGCTATTCATTAATTCAGAGCTACAATAAAAGGTTGGGTTCCCTTCTGTTTACGCACACACATTTCCCTGTAATTATTACTTTTCACTAAGAAGAACGTTTACTAGAAGCCCAGAGAGAAGCAACTGTACCTTTACATGCCAGTATTACATACCTTAGCCATGAGTGTTGTTCCAAAGCCGCCTTGATAATTATTAGCAGATGGTACTCCTTCCATCACTCCAGGAACAGGGTTGTATGTATCGCTTGACCAACAGCGACCTGAGCTCATATTTAGGATTCTGGCCAGCAGCTTTGGGTCAAGCCCTAATCTGTCAAAGGTCAAGGAAGAGAAGTGTTAATGTCAAAATGTGCAAGACATGGGTGACTTGTTTTATATCTTAGGACCCTACCATCATTTCTCTCCCTTTATTATAAGCCATGAAAAATGACACAGTATTGATATTGGGGGTAGGGAAGTTGTATCTTAAATTAAAGAGCATCAATCCACCATTTAAGCAGTAGGCTTTGAGAGCTTTTTTCCTTTTGTACTAAGCAAAGCCCCTTCACCTAGCAATTCTGAAAGTGCAAGCGAAATAAAGGTCCTCTTAGAAGTGCAGTTCACCTGTATTTCAATTACAATAAGGCATTCCCTGTACTGCTAGCTACTAGGTCACATATCTGTTCTTTGTAACAAAATTATATTCTCTAAAGCTGAACAAAGCAACGGATTCACAAGCAAGTGAGGCAGTGTTAAAATATTTTTACAGTATGTTTATACACGCACACTAATGTATTTTCATGCAAGCAAGATGACATCAATGATCCTGATCTAAAAAGAAAAAAAGATACCACACCTGCTAACGTTTCTGAAAAAAATATTAATACTGTACAGATCTGTACGCTCTTTGCTTTGTTATTACTAAATCTTCATTATATACGCTTGCTTCTGAGGCACAGACATATGTTATCTGTTCACAAATATACATTATAGTTCTGGGTCAACTGTTGATAAGGTTACTGATCCTGATAAAACAAAGCTTGTCCAAGTAGAAACACCATTTGTTCTATCACAGAGCTGATGGCATAAGCTGCTGCTCAATGAAAACCCTGAAGGCATTTCAACATTACAATTAACCATTTTCGGTATTTGTATTTTTTAGGGGTGGGATGGGTCATGAAATTTGGGTTTATGCTTTGGAATTTGTATTTATGCTGATATCAAGCTGTAAATATAATTTTACACCAAAATAATTTATGTGAACAAAGCATTTACCAACAATTATACCTACAATTTTATTTTACACCATTTGTGTTTATACCAGCATGTACAGCAACAATGACAAGCAGCAGTCTATCTGGCCCTGTACAAATGTTCAGCTACAGTCATACAAAAATAATTAAATAAATAAATCAAAATAACTATCTTCAGTAACTATCTTCAGAAACAATCAAAGAGGAGAAAAGGACATTTTAAAATGGATATATCACAACCTACTTCGGCATGGATAAGCAAGCAAGTTAACAATAAAACACCTTTTCCACACAGTTCCAGTGGAGCTTTAACCTACATAGAAGTCAAGACTGTTTATGTTAACTTTTACCACATACTTTTTGCAGATCTCCAGAGCCATGGGGATCTTAACATGGCTTCCAGGCTCTGTAGAGCCCAAGGTTAATTTCTAGGTGATTAAAGCTCATTACCAATGGAATAGTTGCTAAGTTACATGTATATACCTATTTATTTTGATAGGCATTTAAGGCTTGAAAAATCTATCTAAAATAGTTGCCAAAGCAAGATCACTTTCTGTACTGCAAAGTTACGTGTTTAGCATTACTGCTGTACAGTCTTTTTTTTTTATGACTTGCTGCACCAGCCCCTGTAATTCAATGGGAAGTCCCCTGCTGGCCTGAATGGGATTACACTTTATTCTCTTCCTCCATTTTGAACCCTCTGACTCAAATGAATGTTTTCAATTGCCATTTATTTTTTAAAAACAAAACAAAACAAAACATTTTCCAGCACCAATATGTCTTCACAGTATTTTAGTTGTACTTATATCCTGCAAAATGCATTAAAATCTTCATCAAGAACCTCTTGGAATAAATGCTCTAATTGTTGTCACCCCCCCAAAACAAAACAAAAACAACCCCAAACGCATTGGGAACAGACAATGCCTGAGCTTTCAAGTACAAAGAAGTTGATTTTTTTGGTTTAAACAAATCTCTTAGCTTCTTTGCTTCCTTATTGTTGTTACATCCCGATCAGTATTTTTAGCAATCTAGCTACATGCAGAGGTCCGTAATTACAGCTGCAAGACGGAGAGCTTATTATTTCAAGATGCATATAGCCCTCCAGAAGAATGCTCTCCTCACAGTATTCCAGCTACCTCTCTGTAAAAATACACTTTAAAAGATATATATACGTTTGTTAAATACGTAAAATATTGTCTGCACAAGATCTGGCATATTTTTGCTCTAGCAAAAGAAAAAGATAGTGTCAGTTTAAATCCCTGCTTCTTCAAACTTCGTTGCTCTTAAAACACCACACAGATTCTCTTCAGGAGACCTGAGCCTATTTTTTTTTCCCCTCCTTTGCAGCAAGTGTATCATTAATAAGAGCAAGTTAGAAGTGCTTTGCATTTCATCTTTCTGAGGATTCATCCACTGGTGCATATATAACTGACAGTTAAAATTAGACATATATTAAAATCAGTTACTGAAGAAGTCCTCTGTCTTCCACTGTGCCCAAAGCTTGTAATGGTCTGAAACCAGCTAGAATATACAGTAATTGTCATTCAGTGAGAGTCTATCCTAGAAAGTCATGCTTCAGTGGAGAAGACTGAGTTTCCATTTGAAATCAACAAATTAATCCAAGACAGGTATCTGAAAGGGCAAGTTTAATAGGAAGCAGCTACTGGGCTCTCAACCATGATAAAATGTTATTGCTGTTTCCCTGTAAATTGGCTGGGAACATATGATACTCTCTGCATAAGAGCTCCATTGCTGTTCGGGAGATATACTGCTCAAGCTATCAAAATGATGACAGTCTGCCAGTCCCCATAACAACTTGCCATTGGACATGGCAAGAGCTTGTGCATGCGCATGTGAATTTACAATTACCAAAATGTTCTTCTCCCTTATAAGCAGAATAGAAGTCCATGCATTAACTGTACTTGTAATAGAGCACAAAAACAATTCCTTGCCTCGAATTAATGCTTCTTCAATAACATTCATAATGAACTGAACAGCAGAAACGAAGCAGTGGGCACACATACACACACAAAAAAAAGGTGAAAATAGGATCCATCCCTTTGAACCACTTCTCAAAACTCAAGTTTTGCTGAGCTTTAATAAAATAATGTACTGAAATTTTCAAACACTCCTCCTCCAAGAGCTCAGTCTGGAACAGAGATAAAATTTCTAATGGCATTTTGGAAAAAAAAAAAAAAAAAAAAAAAGATACCTCCTGGTCTCATTTTGGGGTGTAACAACCAAAGTAGCTGAACTGTTGAGTTTCCCATCTTGAGGTGTTTCTGATAAATACCACATGAAGATGCAAATATTAAAGCAGAACCCTAAGACCCTTCCACCACAGCTAAAAATTATTTTGCCAGTGGCATGCTAAACAAGATACGTGCTTTCAAAAGTGTCATTAGAAACCTTCACAAGACTTGGCTGTAGCCCCATGTGGAATAGAGCAGAGCCACAGTGCTCTTGGAGGAATTCTGTTTCAAGACATTCTTTCTAAAATTTGCAGTGGAGATGTGTTCAGGGCTATATCCCTCAGGCTGCAGCACAGGCTCCTTTCTATACTGTCAACTCCCTTTTCTGTTCCTTTCTTCCATCTATAGTCCAGGGATGCTCACAGAAACCAGATCTAGAGACTGAAACTATGTATAGACTTGACATCAGAGGGTGAAGTCTTTCTACTTTATAGATCTAAAAAAAGCAAGCAGGCACAAAACTAATATGCAGTAAGATTACTTAGGAAAGAGCACTCTTTGCAGCTTTTGACACAAATCTGGGTGCTACCATAGTCCCTTCTAGTAGAGAAGGCTTTTCTCTGCTGTTAGAAGCCCACAAGTGATTTTTGAAGCAAGGCTACTGCCAAAGACCACTTACTGCTGTCCTGGTCCTTTATATCCCAACCATATTAAACAATCTTGTACTGTCATGTGTCAGCACATGAAGCCCTTCTCTGCATCTCTAAAGGGACTGCAAGCTGCCTGACAGGCAGCAACTTCCATCTGACCCAAACTTAAACTAGGTATCAGCAATAACTCATTTCCAAGCTTTATTTTGCTAGTATTAGACATTGTTACACTGGAACTGAGAGCTTGGTAAATTACTGGCATGGAGATGATCAGCAAAAAGAAAAAATAGTCTCCGGCTGTGGACAGTATCAATTAATGTTTTAATTTCTTATTTGTGAAGTTCACATGTATTCTGTGGTCTGGCACTACAGCATTTTGCAACATGTACGTTATCCATAAAACTAATAGCAGTAAAATCTACTCAAGAGATTTTTTTGTACCGTTCAGTTGCATTATGATGCTAGAAAGAACATACAAATGAAAATGTAAATTAATTTCCAGAATGTCTGCCACACCTTCAATAACTTTTAATGGCAACATTCATAAAGCATCAGGAAAGTAATGGGAAAACAAAACAAAACCATTTCAATAGTCAAAACTCAGACTGTATTTTTTAATAGTTACAGAATCTAAACTAAAGCACTTCCAGTGAAAGTGGACATCTTCATTAGTAAATTAAGTAATTAGTAAATTAAGACATCTTCGTTAGGTAATGAAGATGATATTAAAATAAAGTAGAAAAGCAAGTAGAATATAAAAGAAATAACTACATAGCAATATTGCCCATTTTTCTGAGAGTTTATTGCAGAATTTTTGTTTACTAATGCCAGTTTTCCTTCCTCCTCACAATATTCAGTTTGCTGAAGTTCAGAAAAATTCTACAATTTCAAATATAAATAAAACAATAGCAAATGTAATTTGAACACCTGAAATGAATAAAATGAAAATTTAGGCTGCATGGTTAATGAAAACAATAGAGAAGTGGTTTATTAACAGAATTAATGCCACAGTGTTCTGAAGACTTAAGCACAGATATATATCGATTTCTGAAAGGCCCTGTGGTATGACTTTCTAGTTACATCTAGTTTAGTTAGCAATATTTTGAAAAACTAATTATCCAAAGTCCCACAAATTCAAGATTTAAATGATACAGCAGGTAAATATAATGCATGATGTGAAGGTATTTTATATTCTGTCTAAAAGTTAAGAACGTGTATAAGCTCCAGTATTTCTATTACAAGGTTTTTAGGTTTGCATAGTCTTTTACCATTATTAGGTTAGAATTGGACTTTTTTTTTTTTTTAAACAGATAAGCATCAATCTAATAAACCAAGTTCCGCTTCTATATCTCTCCGGACTGTGTAGTCAAATCATCCTCTCAGTTTTAGACTTGGAAAAACAAATCTAATTAATTCATTTAAAAGGGAAAACTTAACAATTAGAATTACAACTGTAACTTGCATGTTAGAAATTTGTAAACACCAGAAGTGGAAAGCGCTTATTCTACTTACATGCAGAAGTCATCTCCAGGATTTAATTCACAGCACATTAAAATTAATGCAAGGGTTCCAAATTGCTTCACTTAAAATTATTGCCTGTATCTTAAACTTGATACAGTTTTTGACTAACTGAGATTCTGTTCTTCATGTTATTCTGGATACAATCAGCAGGTTTCTTCTACAGTAAGTACAATTCCTTCTTGATTACCATGATAGTAAGGTAGGAAAGTTAGTATATTGTCACCTCCATGTTTCTGATTTTTGGTCAGAAATGCTGAATATAAATTCAGCCAAAAATGATAAAATGAAAAATAAGAATCCAAAAACCTTGAAGCTAAAGTAGCTTCAGACATAAATCATTCTGCATTCAGGGAGTACATGCCCAGAATATTTGTGTTCCAAACCTCTTGATTTTATTTTTAACTAAAATAATTCCTACAAACTTAAGACAAAAAATTAATGAAAAATCAGTTGTATATGCTTTATTAAGTGAAGCATGACTTAAAACAGAACCTGATGAAAGCTTTACACCATACTGGATTGCAATACTTGTATACAATGCTACTGTTTTTATTATGGGTTGATACGGACGTGCTTCAGTATCTTACAGACTCTCAATTTTAAAATGTAAATGGTACAGGATATTGATAAACCAATTAGCACTGATGCAAAGCAAATTCCTCTTTTATCTCAATTACAACATGACAACTTAATAGGTCAAGATAGTCTAACATCTGAGACAAGGGCAATTCAATAAAACAACTGCATCTTGATATGGTAATTAAGAGGAAATGTGAATCCATTACACTGCCTCGTGTATGTGTGCACATGTAGGCGTTCTTTTTTTTTTTAATTATTTATTTAAGCATTTGATGCCCTCTTGCTGTTTTTATAGTATATCAAATCCACATGAGCACACAGTCTAAAGCTCAGTTGATAACTATCTACAATATCTGTAGTTTTAGCAGGCCAATTGTAAGGATGCAACTGTGCAGATGAATAATTCATGAAGAACACTTGAAAGATACACAATTGCAAGATAATCTCTTCAAACATAACACTGCATATAAACTTACAAATGATTTAGATCTGGCTAAAAGAATTTATGAAGATTCAAATACTGTGATAGTGAACTGGTTCTTGCATGCCCTGTATTTGAAAAATCTTAAACACCAGAGCAAAATAAATAAGCTACTATTGGATAGGACAATTTTTTTTTTAATACACTGCTGTACGAGCAGCAAGTCGAATGCACTGCCTGTTAAAAAAGAAATGGTGCTTTTAGCATTGAAAAGAGCATAGTGGAACATACTCCAGCTTTTCAACAAAGTAGTAGTTTTGGCAATTATGTTAAACAACAATGACAAAGTCTGACAAAAAGGTTATGTTCTTTTGTATGCTTTAATTTGATACATGCACCGTATTGCAAATTTTACTTTGTTTTGGAACAATTTACCAAAGATAAACAAACTAACAAGAGTATCATACTCAGAATACATTGTACATAAGCTTAGAATCCAATAGTTACCTCTGTATTACCTCTGCTTGTATATATAATGTAAGACAAACATTATTGTACAGTGCGCTATAACAGAATAAACAAATTCTTATCTTCAGGTGCAGAATGGAATGATCTATACAGTCAATACAAGAGAATATTTCTGTTCTGAAGAGCCCTGCCTTAGTTAAATAATATTTTTAGCACGTTAATGACTTTTATAAGAGAATTTCTGGGCAAAGTGTATCTATGCTGTCTAATCACCATTGTCTCAGCAACAGTCAGCTGTAAAACACAAAACTGTGAACACAGAAAAAATCCCTTCAATCCAGTATAAGAATCAAACAAACCTGATTCCAAGATTCATAGCCTCAGCAGTTCCAATCATACTGATGGCCAAAAGCATGTTGTTGCAGATCTTTGCAGCCTGAAAAAAAGGTAAACAGTCTATTAGTTCTTGCGTTTTCTAACACAAACATGTTAAGTTTATGCATAGGTAAAATTAAGTAAACCTAAATTTGTTTCTTCTAAAGTTAAAATCCACGTCCTCTAAGAAGTATAATTTAACAAAGCAATGTGAAAAAACACTGGGTCAGATATTTTGGCACTAAGCTACACAACATACTAGAGAACAGTGCCAAAAGATTATTTTATAAACATGTGGTTGAAGAATAAGGAAACGCGAGAAGATAATACATGCATTTAGTTCTGGGATAAAAAAGTGGATATCATTCAAGAAAAATAAAGCACCAAAAATAAAAGACTGAGATAACTATCAAGCCCTCAGCAAGCATTACCTGTCCAGTTCCAACCTCTCCACAATACACCACATTAGAACCCATGCATGTTAGCAACTCTTTGGCAGCATTGAATTCCTGTTCCACTCCACCAACCATGAAAGTAAGGTTTCCAGCTCGAGCAGCTCCAACACCTGAATCAAGACAACATTGGATTTAATACCAATATTTTTTTTCTTCAAAAAAATCTTAACAACTTCATCTTATCAGTAAGGGTCTGATGATGCAAAATTTATGCGTTTAATACTTCCCTTATGATGAATCCCTCAGATGATGTAAAAGTAAGCCTATATCCTAAACACTTACAGGATCAGAGATCTTAATTCTCAAGCATTTGATGAAGATAAAGCCACCTTATGAAAGGCTGTATCTTCAGGAATACTGGCAGATAAACAATTCACAAGAATTACAGAAAACTGGCTCTATAATTTCATATGAAGAAACAATCAACCCTTTCTGCAACCTTGCACTCCATAAAATTAATTGTATCTGAATAACTAAATAACATTTCTGTTTTGTCAAACTACTCTGAATATGTGAATATGACTATTCACAAACAATTGCTCAAAGTTAAATCCACTTTTATCAGCTTTTCCAAACCCCAGGCTAAGTTTTATCAGTGCTTGCTGATTTTTACATAACTGAACATCTAAAAGCCACAGACATGTAAAACAAAGTGTTTGCCTTCTGAATCTCTGCAGTTTGTTATGTCTCTAATCTAAAGCAAAGTTCTACTTAATTTCAGAAATGTTTAGTTTTATATGCATAAACTTAACACATATACAACTACATAAAGAGCTACGCAAAACCAATGTAAAGATGATTGACATTAGCACACATATGAACATATTATTCCCAGTTTTATTCTAAAAAGTCTATTGTATCTTTACCATGGGTCGGGAAGAACATACCCCAAAACTGACCAACGCAACAACTTCCTCACTGTTTTTCACTTCAGCAAGAGGTATAGACAATATGAATTCTGTGTTATGCATCAAACTTTTGACTTATTAAAATGTACAGCTGCAGAGAATGGCCCATTTTCAAATAAAACATGCTCAACCAGTTACAGTGGTCCTTCAAATGATGCCCAGGTGAAATGGTTTGTTCTTCTGTATGGGATGGACCATTCTGCTTCTACAGTAATGGAAACTACTCTCCAGCTATGATTCACACTTCTTTTTCAGCAACTATCTACTATAATAACCATTAATAGCTGTTTATATAGAAATAGTTTCCAGGGTATAACTGGAAGAGCCTTCACCGAGCTAGATGTTGTGTAGTGACAAATGAAAACGCACTCCTAAAATGGGATTTCACAAGTTTTCATTTGCACCCGTTACCTCCTGCCCTGTCACTGGGTACCACTGAGAAAAGTCTGTCTCCCTCCCTCCCATCAAATACTTCTAAATGTGGATGAGATCCCCCTGAGCCTTCTCCTCTCACTGCTAACCAGTGTCAGTTCTTTCAGCCACTGCTCACAAGGAAGATGCTCCAGTCCCTTCATTTTCTTGTAGCGGGGAGTCCAGAACTGGAACATCCAGAACAACTCAGGCAGACGCAAGCTTTAACCAAATCCATCCATACATACCCAACACTCACTGCTGCTCCTAGAACAACACTTGTAATATATACAATGGTGGAGGCCTTTCTGCTCTGGTTAAGAAACACCCTATTTCTAGCCAATCCTTAACCTCACTTGAACAACTCCTCTCCAGCCAACTCATGTCGCAAAACCCAGGAACTGAAGGAATAGCAAAACCTAGACTTTGAGCTAACACAAACACGTCATTGTCATCTTGTTGGCTACCAATTTACTACATACATGACCGCAAAGATTGCTACGTTAATAAACACAATGATTTTCATTCCGTTCCTCCAGCTATTTTTATTCAAACCACATAATGGCCTTTACCACTAATCCTGTGATCTGACCTGCAGCAAATTAAGTAGACAATTTAAGTCAAAGCTTACAAACAAAATCCAGTACTATCCATCATAGGTCAATAGCCTTGTATCTAGATTACAGACTGCTAAATAGCTTCAGAGAGTCATTTATTAGAGCAAAATTAATGCTGACAATAGTTTTCAGCTGGTTAATCTTCTGACAGCTGCACTCTCTCACTTGTTCAAACGCTTACATTTCAAGTAGAAAAAATAAATTAGCTAACTAGAAAAAAAGAGCAATTTGTTGTATAATGCAGAAGGCTTGGAAAATTCTGTTTTTAAAAACAAAAACCTGTTTACTTTGTGCTAAATTTTATCATCCAGGATCCTTGCCAACTATCAGCTATTTTATCAAAATTAAACAAGCAACGCTGCAAATCTTCTACACTGGCAATTTTGGGAAGTTTTGGCAGAGAGTCTAGGCATACAAGAACTGTAACTTCAGCTAAAAATAGAAATCAAAAGTCATTAGAAAAGAATGCAAAGCTTTATTTCAAAAATCACCAATTCCACACCAACAACACAGGCCAGTAAAGTATTATCAGCTTCTAACATTAAAGAGAACAAGGGAGAAAGCAAAGCAGCTCAATGAAATCATAAAGCTAATGATTATTTTTCATCTTTTGGCTTTTGAAAGATTGTTCACTACCTAAAATAGTGCTATATATACACCGCTGCTGATTAGGGTCATAAGTCCATAAAGCCTTCAGAATCTATTTGCTCTTTCTAAAATACAGAAAGCTTCTCATTGTCAGGGAAGAGTTTTGGAGAAACTGCATTTGTGAGCAGCACACGTTTAAGATCTTCTTTCCTGCAAAGCAAGACTGCTGGAGCCCATGGCTGCAGTCCTATGCTTGGTTTCTCTAGGATGATCCCCCCAACCCATCTGTTCTTTAAAACATCCCATCACTTCTGACCAAGTTACTCATGGGGCAAGGATGAGTTCAATCCATGGGATTCCCACTTCAGTTGCCATTGATTGCAATGAATGGACCTGAGGCAGAGCAGTTCCCAAGTTCAAACCTTTAGACAAAAATGTGAATGGAGCCCTCATATGACAGCAGCAACTGGTTGCGGCTGTCCTGGGATAGTCTGGATTTGGATGACCTCAAGTTTCAGGTTCCCAGCCAGGCAGCCTAGTTCAGTAGCCACCCTACCCTTCCATATCTGGTTTTCCTTGCTTAGTACAACTCTGACAACATTTAACACCTTGAAAAAAGTCTTGCAGTTTGCAACTGATGTTTCCAGCTCCAAAAACTAAGGTCTTACCTCTAGAGCTGCATCAGTAAAAGCAGTTTGGCTAAATGCAGCTTATTACTAAGAATACAAATTGCTAGAAAAAAAGATGTTAATATAAAGATGTTATATAAAATTATCTGCTTTCAGTTTCAGCTGTATTACATTTCTGTAAGAACAGCAGGGTGGAGATCACTTAAAAAAAAAAAAAAGTGATACTGTACGGCTACTCACTGGAGCACCATTAGTTACACTGCTGAAAACACCTAGCACCCTATGCCAAAAATATTTAAATCACTGTTGTGTTGCATCTGCACATAACATTTTTTGTTGCTGACAAAGTTGAGAACAAAAAACTAGAACTAAATGCTACTCCAAACGACAGGCTAAAGATGAGGGCTATAACATCAAAAAGCTTAGACGGCAAACATCCATTTTATCATTGATCTATTCAACATCTAGTCTACTGAGCAAGGCAGAATTTCAGCAACTAGTTTATGATCTAAAAAGGATGTAAAAATAAACAAGAACAATACTGTTAGAGTTTTAATCCTCTCTTCTGTTTTACAATGTTGTACTTTCACACATAAGAACTGAAGCTTTGCTGCCTGTTATGTTTTGGGAAGTGCAAGGAAACACTGGTCCCTTATTCCAATATTTTTGCAAAAATACAACTTAAGTGACTATGGTATCTTCAAACAAGCAGTTTCTTGTCATGTTTGCTCTCCTTCAGATAGGTTGAACTTGAGAGCCTGCATCTGTGTAGCTTGTGTGTGTGCATGATTATAAGCTCTAAGCAATTCCTTTTAAGTACCTGCCAGCTTGCATGAAATACTTTGTCTTTTGCGATTCACCAAAAGTTAAACCAAGATACACAAGGAAAGATTAGCTGTAAAGGTTACTATTGTTTTGCTACGTATATAAATCCAAAACCAATTAAAAGGCACGTATAGGCAACATCGTCTACAAATCCCTACTGGAAATAAAAGCAGGATATTTAAAATGATACCATAAATTTAAAATAGCCACAAGGAAGCTAGTTATTTTTATAAAATACAAATAGGGGATCATTTTCCTCTAGTTGCTTCACAGACAAAGTCTGACATCCTCAATCTATTTCTAGGGAACAAGTAAACAGACCAGTCTCTGAAAATTAAAAAAAAACAACAACCACCACTCAAAGGGATTGGGCTTCTCCCTATTATAAAAACCAGCATCAAAGGTAGAGCTATGAAGCTATTCTACTGCTGTATAACCAAAACACAGTAAATCACTTAATTTGCTCAAAAGAACTTAAATGTTTTAACCAGTCTGCCATCAACGCAGATAAAGAAGAGGGCCGATGGGACTGGGCTGCGATGTGAGCCGTCTTTAAAATGCAATTGTTCTAATCATTTTCTACAGATGCAGCCTCACAAGGGGCTGCTGTCACAGGGACCATTTACGACTTGTTATGGTGTCTCTATTGTTTACCAGCGACATTCGCTAAAAAGGCGACAGCTGGGACAGAAAGCTGCTACTCAACGAACAATATAATCCCGTGAAAGTAATCAACAAATTTAAGGGTGTTAATTAACTTTACACTTTATCATGTTCAATTAGTTGTCCTTTCTCGAAAAGATTGCCGTGCACAATCGGTTTAGAGCGTGCCATGTTTGATTTGTAAGTGATCACTGTTTCTGTTTCAAAGTCCATGTCAGATGTCCTCTTGGGTTTTGGTGACACAGATGAATGGCTCTGCACATGTTAGGGGTGATCTGGTTTAACATAAACCAGCACAACGTAACCCCTTGTTACCGCAGCGCTGGCCTTGCCGGCACAGGAGCGCCCACGCTCACGGCCTCACGCTGTACGTGCACGAGCCCCTTCCAGCAGGGCCGCAGACAACAATCCCAACTTTGGTTTTTGCTGAAACACAAAGACACAAATAAACGGGCAATTTTTCATCATT